TCCGTGTCTTTTCATTTCCATTTCTGTCCTTCGTGGCAATACGACAAGAAACGCAGGTCCAGTGTCCAGTGTGGGTCCCACACTGCATTTTCTTACCACACCTCTTATTCTTCTTTGATCTGGAGCAATCTCTCCGTCCTTCCTTGACTTCATGACTTTGCTGTCTCCACAGAGTCCAGGGCAGTCGCCTTACAGACCATCTGTCCACTTGGACATGCTTGAAGAATCCTCATGACTGGACTCAGGCTGCTGCATTTCTGACAGAAACCCTAAGAAGGGGGTGCCATGCCCTTCCGGTGTGGCATGTCAGGAGGCCTGTGGCATCTGTTTGCTCCATGGAGACAATCAGTCCCTTGTGGTGGTGCCTGGCACACTTCCCGCTGGCCAGGTGACCATGCAGCTGTATGGCAAATGAGTGTCTTAGAGGGAGGAGCCTGAGACTTCTCATCAGCCATTCACATTTTCTTGCTGGTGTTCGTTGGTCCATGTCTGACCTGTGGTTCCTTCTGATTATTTGTGAGTTGACACTCCTTCTCTGGTGTTTGCAGTTCATCTGTCTGTCACTTTCTTCAGGTTGGCCACTGGCTCTACTCATCTGGGGCTCCTGTCGACACTGACAGTGCATTTATTGTGGCGCTCGCCTCACTCCAGGTCTGACAGCAGAAGCCTTCTGGCTGGCCCTGTGCCCTCTAGACATAGCACATCATTCTGTCGCAGTCCTCGTCCTCCTCCTGGTGACCCAGGCTGTTCTGAGTGCCTCTCACACACCACCCTGCCTTGAAGTCGGCCATGTCTCCAGCCCCAGTCATGCCACCAGAGAGTGGTTCAGGAAATGCAGCCTGGGTGCCAGGTGTGTGCTCACGATTTCTAGGCCCCCAGCAGTCAGAGGCAAGAGTCAGACGTATGCTCGTATGCCCATAGAGATATCTACAAAGCAGCACACATGCATATTCACATGTCTAGACCATTCTCTCTAGAAATAATGCCATCATGCCCGCCCCAGCTGGTGAACTCACACTGCTCGCTTGCTCCTCCCTGGCTGTGCCACATTCATGGTATGGGTGTGTGGCAGTTCATCTGATCGCGCTCCTTTGAACAGAAGCTCGGGTTGTTTCCAGGATTTTGCAGTCACCTGTAATGTTGCAGTGAATAATAACTTCATGCACGTGCAGTCTTATATTTTGGGAGGTGAATCTTTGGGATAAATTGGTAGAACTGGGTTGCTGGACCAAGAAACACCCCACATCTTCCATTTTGTTGCATGTTGACAAATCTGTTTCCTAAAGGCTGCGCCAACTTACCATCCCTACAGACCACAGGGCACATGGCTGACTTCTGACAACTCTACGGTAAGAAGCAGTGCCTCAGAGCCGCCATCACATTCTTTTCTCTAAGGTCGATGGAGTCAGGCGTCGTCCCCCCTTGGATTCGGACAAGCCACAGGAGCTCCTAGGACATGACCCTAAGCGTGCTTGAGCTTCTGGGTCCACTTCTCCCCACGTGGCTCCAAGTGAGGCTGTGATGCAAAAGGCCAAGCCAGGAGTCGGCCCCCTTGTTCCTGCATTTGCCTTTTAGCCAGTCCAAATCCATGGTACCAAAATGAGCTTGGACTTTGCGTCTGAAAACTGCGCAAAGCACGGAGGGTTAGGTGCTGAGTTCCTGGCAACAGGTGAGGAGACCCAGGATGGCTGTGGCCCTGGCAACTACAGGTCAACTTGGCTCTTCTATGCCGGACTTGCCCACGCAGATGCTGCAAACATTGAGCAGGACACAAGTATTCAGTGGACCAAAGTTCGGTGGTAACTTGACATTCTATGGTAAGAACAGCCACCTGGGCTAGTCATCAGAGGCAGTGTGCCTGCTTGTTTCTGGGATCGATGTGGGATCATCCTGGTTTTCTCAAGCAGGGAGCAGAGGGGCATGGTGCCAGGCATGGCCTGGGTGTGGGCACCCTGGGCCCCACTTCCACCTGCGCTCCTGCCCTCTGAGCCCCAGGTGTGCAACACTCTCCTGACCCAGGGCCTTGGCATGTGCCGTTTCCGCTGCACACAGGCCTCTTACTGAGTGGGGACTGACTGTTGAGAGGTCTCGATTTCTTCACAAAGCCTGAAGTCCTACAGCACAGTTACATCCACACCATGTAAAACAAAAACACGAGAGTAGAAAAAACACCAGTGTGACCTGGGCTGTGCAGAACCTGTGGGAGGCCCAGGAGTGCCCCTTCCCAAGGTCTTGCTTGCAAAGGGGACCTCACAAGGTTTCAGACTCCTTGGGACACCTCCGACTCACCCATGCCCTGCTACGTGACCCATGCTGTGGAGTCTTCAGAGTGGCCATCTTGCATGCTGAGTCTTTCGAGGCGGGAGGCTGTATGTTTTTCCCACCTGGTTTATGAGCATCTACGTGTCCCCTCCCGGACTGGCCTCATCCCCTCCCCTCCCTATCGAGTGACACAATGCCCACAGCCCCCCATGCCCACAGAGCGCTCACGGACAGAAGACAGAACAAGAAGAGGAGCTGGGGCGGCTGTGTCTGCCCTGTAATTTGTCTGCGTTTTTAAAATCTTTTTCAATCAATGTTGACTAATTATTTTGGTGCATGTAGCCACAACTTTGTAATTTGCAGAGTGTGGTTCCTTTATGCTTCTAAATTAAAGTCTGCAGGGATTTTGGGGGAGTGCCCTGAAGCTTAGATCTTCCCGTGGATGGTGGTGTGATTCCAAAATAGTTTCTCAAGGCGGAAGGAAAGACTTCTGGCTGCCCCGTGGTCTCTGGCAGCAGTTTCCAGAGCACTGTCTGGTCGCCAAAACCTTACTATTGCCACCACCCAAGAGGCCCTCAGAGACCTGGTAGCAGTGGAGGGTTTTGCCGAAGCCAAGTTGCCTGTGCGTGAGCAAGGCTCTGGGCCCCAGAGCAAGTGGACACCTCCAATCCCTGACTCCACAGCCACCACCTGGCGCTTCCACCATGGGGCAGGTGTTCCAACCTCCTGGAGCCTCTCCTTTGGGCTCTGTAAGATAGAAATGACCTTAAAGTAGTAATAACATTGATTTCCAGAGTGAGAATCCGTGAGCTCAGAGAAATAAAACTGTGAGAACTAAAAACAAGAAAAAAGAAACAGAGCACTCCGACACCAACTGGAGTCCCTGGGCAGATGTGCTGCTGCCATCTGGGACGTACATCATGGCATGTGACTGTGGCCTGAGGCCCCTCAGAGTTGGGGTCAGGGGAACTAGAGAGGTGGCCTCTCTGAGGCCCCTGGGCACCAGCGGGCGTGGCTTAGGCTGGGCTTCCAAGTGCCTGCTGCTAAGACGGCCCCTTCTGGAGCTCCCAGCCAGGCACCACCCCCAACCCTTATGCCACTTGTTGGAAGGACCCAAGGGTGGACAGGGCCAGTGTAAAAACACAGCTGTGAGATGCTGGGCCCCATGCAGCACGTCCACCTGGGCGCCAGCCTCCCCCACGAAGGAGGCGTCCCTGTGGATTGTCTCGCTTCTTCCTTGATGACTGTAATGACAGCAATTTCCATTTCCTCTCACTGTTCCTAAGACCATCTGGAGGCCGGTGCAAAGAAAGAATGGAAATCTCAGACCAGCTCACAGACAGGAGCTGAGTCTTCCAGCCCCTTGGAGGGAGGCTGCTGCCTCGGGGAGCAGGGCCATGGGAGGGGTGTGTCTGGGTGGGCCTTGGCCTGTTGAGTAATACCTCTGAGCCCATCCCATAGGCCTGTCTGTGTGGGTCAGGTGGGCAGTGATGAACTGAGCTCATTAAAGCCTGCAGTGCCAGGGAGCTTTGTCCTCTCACTGTGGTGCCAGGCATCTGTGGGATCATGGAAGGATATGATGGGCAGTGTCATGTGCATTTAGTTGGCAAAAGCAGAAAAGTACATCATGGTCCCTGGTGGGCCTCTGTGAGGGGAAGTTCTGGGCACTGGGGGTGCCACTGGCCATGGAGCAGGCTCACACCCACACACTTTTGTCTAGTACCATAGGTGACTCCTCCACTGGAGCCACCTGGAAATGGCAGCCTGGCCTTGTGCAGCTGGAGTGTCCCTGACGTCCCCAACCTCACCAGAGGCCTCCAACTGAATGACCTCCAGCAGCTGGGAAGGGTGCGAGAAAGGCCCTGCGCCCCCCAAGCAGAAACGCTCATGGCTACATTAGGACATAGCACCTGGGCCAGACACAGCCCTGTCTTTTGAGGGCAGGCCCACAGGCAGGACAGCAAGAGAAGGCAAGTGTCCACACCCTCAGAGGGACGGCGGGGAGTTGAACACCTGCAGGACCCGGCCTTTCAGTGCCTGCTGTAGGGGGGATCTGGCAGAGGCCTTCCCCGCCAGGTGCGTGTTGGGATTCTCTGAGTTGACCTCTAAAAGTCCCCGTGTCCAACCTCCCACCCCCATGTCGGCATTCCTGAAGCTTCTCGACAGGCCTGGGAGGAGCCCCACCCTGTAAGGCGCCCACAGGCAGCCAAAGCAGCATCCTCAGGATGAGCTGCACATTCTGGGGAAGCCAGGGTCCCCCTCCACCTTGACTCAGTTCAGAGTCAAAGGACGCATGAGGGGTGATTCAGGAAACAGTGTCCTGTTCTGCTGCCCACACCAGCCCTACCCTGTCCTGTAATCAGCGAGAGGTCTCAGAATAACAAGTGGACTCTGTGGGGATACGCCTCCTAACAGTCCCCAGGCTAGGCTCCCGAGGGTGACACCTTACCACTCCAGCCGGGCACTCGGTCCTGGGCTGCGACACATGCAGCTCTCTGTTGGGCTGTGCCAACTGTGGACCAGCCCAAGGGCCCTGCACTAGGGGCAGGGGTCCCAGGCTCAGTAGATTTCCGTGGCCGTGGCATCAGCCCATGAGGCTATGTCCTCACCGCAGTGATGGGAGCATGGATGACTTCAGAAGCGCAGTGTCTTCCTAGAGGCAGCCCCATGCCCTGCACCTCAGGATGTTCCTCACCAACCCTCTTATTAACCTTCCCTCCCCTCCCTGCCCCCAACAGAGTGACTACTCCAGCGACACTGAGAGTGAAGACAACTTCCTGATGATGCCCCCACGGGACCACCTGGGCCTCAGCGTCTTCTCCATGCTCTGCTGCTTCTGGCCTCTGGGCATTGCAGCCTTCTACCTGTCACATGAGGTGAGGCGTCCGTTGGGTGGTGGCACACGTGTGCAGGCATGGCGGTGTGGCCAGGGATTTGGCCGTGTGGACGTAGTCAAGGCAGTGTGGACAGGTATGCGCAGTGTGGACAGGTATGCGCAGTGTGGACAGGGGTGCAGTGGTGTGGATGGGGGAGGAGCGATGTGGACATGGACATGGCAGTGTGGACGCGGCACATCCAGACCAGGAGAGGGAGCACCCAGAAACCCGTTCAGCTCCTGCTACAAGGAGCCAATACTTGAGTACTTGGAGAGCCTCCAGGAGAACCGGGGCACCCCGGGTCATTCAGGCTGCCCCCCTGAGCCATGGCCTGTCCTGGCAAAGGTGGGACAACCCTCAGGAAGGTGTCAGGTGGCACTTAGGAGTTCATTGCCTGTGGGAGCCATGCCTGTGCTGAAACCTGGGGCTGCCTGGTGGGGCCCAGCCCAGTGCTGGAAGCCCCTGTGTACACTGCACCCCTACTGGGACACATCAGGGCAGTCCCCCAGGAAAGGGGGTTCTCTCTATGGCACGAGCACTGCAGGCTCTTCCCAGAACTGAACAGGTGACTTCCAACATCTCCTCAAAGCCTCCCTTCTGCACTCCAGCCCTATGCCATGTTCATGGGGGAAAGATGGGGCACCCCACCCTCCAGGAGCCTGCATTGAAGGGCCTGTCCTTTTCCTGGCAGTGGGACCACTTCAGCACCAATGCTACATGGTAACTGCCAAGTTTTAGAAGGGGACGGGCCTTTCTGTCTTGGATTCCCCTGCGGGAGGCACTCCCTGCACCATGGCATGGGGGGCAGGCAGGGTTGAACTCAGGGGCCCAGGGAGAGGCCACCTAGGCAGGAGGAGAGGCTGCTCCTTTTGTGACGACACAGGGGGCACACAACACATCCCTGCCCATGCGCCCAGGTTGGAGCCCTGTCTGGAGCTGGGGAAGCTGCAGAAGGTTCTTCTGTCCAAAGACGACTGTAATAAAATTCCAGGCAGTGGCTGAAGAGGCTGCCTTGGGACTCTTCTTCCCAGGAGGTCATCTTCCTCCCAGTGCCGTAGGAGCCTCTCAGGCCTGGATCTGATGACTCAAAGCATTAATACCTCTGATCACAGCAGGTTCATTTACTCTTTGTTGGCAGCGAATGCCAAGTGCCTTTTCTTAGAGTCCTCTGCTCCATCTTTGGGGTGGGCTCAGACACATTTAGCATGCAAAGCATTACCTGTAGGCATCAGACAGCTCCAGCTCTGGCCTGTAGTCTCTGACTTGGTGCTTTCCCTCTGAGGATGCACGCTGGAGAGCAGGAGCCCATGTTCCTGCCAAGAGCTGAATTGTGAGTCCCCACACAGGGCCTGATCCACATCCCTTCAGGGCTGCACTCTTCCTGGTTGGATCACCCTGGGCAACTGTGCAGTCTGCAGCAGTGGCGGCTCTGGGCACTGCTGCAGATCCAGAGCCAGCAGCCCTGCACAGGGTGCTCAGTGGGTCCCCAGGGCTGACTGTTCTGTTGCCAGCCCCCTCTGCAGACTCACCCTCAGCAGGCCAGGAGGGGAGACCCAGGAGCCTAGCACAGATAGAGCAGGCACACCCGGAGGGGCCTGCACAAAATTAAATCAGCACTCTGCCAGGGAGGCAGCTGGGTGTGTGACTCAGGCTGGAGGAGGGAGCCCGACTTGCTGGCCTTGTTGAGAAAGACCTTGTGGCCAGATCCCGGGCTCCCCAGCCCTCACCAGAAGCTCCTCGGCAAAACACAAATGGTTGTTCCTCTTAGCACAGATCCTCTCAGTGCTTGCTGATAGTAAGGCTGTGTCTGCTTATTGTCAGAATAACACAGTGTCAAATGGCCTCCAGGGCAGGGAGTCACCCGAGGTTACAGATGTGAAGGCACATATAGACCCCAGGAGTGACTGAAGTGACTGGTGCCCACTGTGTGCTGCTGGACACCTGAGCCATCCCAGCACTGGGTCCAGAGGCAAAAGGGCCCCTGGAAGGAGAAAGATGTGCATTTCTGTAGCAGAGTCTACTGGCTCTGAGACTGTGGTCATGGAGCAGTGTGACAACAGGAGCAGGAGTGTCCCAGTGAGTTTTACTAACCGAGCACCAGCCGGGCCTGAACGTGTTGTGGGACGTATACACCCGGCACAGGTGTGACCTTCCCCAGGTGCCTGCTGGACATACACATTGGTCAGCCCACTTCAGGCCTTTCAGAGTCCCTGGGGGGCCCAGGAATATGCATTTGGAGGAGCTCCCAGCAAGTTCTGATGCTGCTCAGGGATGAGCCTGCTGTCACATGAGAAGGACCTTGAAGGAACGGGGTGACATGGGCACCAAGGTCCAAGTCAGCAGGATAAGTGTGTCTAAAGCCACAGTCCATCACACTGGGCAAAACGGAACAAGGATCTGGTTAGAGGACTTGCCTTCTCTGGAGGGAAACCCCCTTTCTTCCAAAGGCCCAGCCTCCTGGGGATGGGACAGCCTTCTCTCTGAGGCCCTGCCTTCTCTGCAGGAGAAGACTTGGCCCTGGGCTGTGGAAAGACTCAGCCTGGGGACAGGGTAGGGGCAGTGGGAGTAGTCTGATGTCCACAGCTTCATCTTGCCCTAACAGTGCTCCTTGTGCTCCAAGTGCAAGGGCCTGGAGGAAGCTCTTTGTAGAGAGGAGGCTGTGAGAATGGAGGTCCTCCTGGTGTGAGTGCAGGGAGGCCCTCTATAGAGAGGAGACTATGAGTGTGCCTTTGCTGGCACAACCCTAGCCAGGCCCGATGCTGTGGGTGATGCTGAGGACGGATGAGCCTTGTAGTTTGCTGATGACAGCTGTCACCCGTTGACATGCACACATGTTATATTTATTGTCTGCAGTGAATATCCAAGGTGGAGTATCCTCCTTTTAGAGACGAGCACAACTGCAGGTTCAAAGGAGGAGAGAATGGCTGCCATCCTGGAGGCTGCCTGTGTGCGTCCTGGGTTGGCGTTCATATGTGGAGCCCCAGACCACTCTTTCTGCAATGAGACTTTGACTTTCATCTGTTTGCAAACACAAATAGAAACAGAGTCCCTGCTTCCAGATCCACAGCCCTGGCCCAGCAGGAGCGGGTGTGGTGAGGCAGAAGCCACCCTTCATCCCATCTCTCAGACAGGCAGTGACTGGCACTGACCCTGGGGCAGCCCCACCCAGAGGCCTCGGTTGGGCCCTGCACCCACAGGCCTGAGGGCATGAGCACCCGCTCCACTGGCTGATGTCTTTGCACTCAAGCATTTATTATGTCTTGATCTAATTTCATTTCATAAAATGTTTCTTTTCTTTAATAACTGCAACATTATAACCATAATTAAATGAGAAAAGGGCATTAGGAACCAGATTATAAATAACACTAGCAAAGAGAATTGGGCAAATTAGGGGGCAAGGTGACGTTCCTTTTGGGCCTGAAAATCTAGTGTCTAGATTAGTGTCCAGCCCAGCCAGCAGCCATGTTCCCAGAGGTTTGTTCATTGGTCCATGGATTATGAATGCTTCTCGTATGCCAAGCCCTGCTCAGTGGTTGGGTGGGACACAGTGGTAGCTCTCCCCCGCACCACAGAGCTGCCGCTGGCGTGAGTCACAGGCCAAAAGCAGCACACGGTGGTGGACTGTCCAGTAGTGCGGAAGTGAGGCTGGAGGTGTGTGTGAGCCATGCAACTGGGAATCACATACCAAATGGTGGCCATGGACAGGCTCGGTGATGGAACCACGAGCAAAGCCAGGAGGGGCTCTGGAAGAAGAGGCTCCAGGTAGAGGGACAGGCAATGCAAAGACCCTGGGGTGGCACGTACCTGGCGTGTGAGAACCTGTGAAGCCCACAGATGGAGCAGGGTGATAGCTGGGTGTGCAAGCAGGAAGTTAGGGAGAGGACAGGCAGGGCGGCTCAACCCCACGGGGCCCTCTAGGCTGCAGTAGGGTGGCAACTTTCACCTGGGATGAGAAGCCACTGGGGGCCTGGGCAGGGCGGAAGCCCATCTGCATACACACCCTCCAGGAGCCTGGCGGGGGCGGGCCGCGGGGTAGGAGGCATGTGAGGGTTGCCCCAGCATCCAGAGATGTTGGTGTTCTGACTGCAGCCAGGGATGCGGACTTCACAAGAAGCAGGAGACAGGGTGCCTCATGGAAGAGTGACCCACAGGTTGACAGCGTGTGGGGAAGGGAAGGGGAAGGGTGCGCCAAGGAGGGGAAGCAGCATGTACCATGGGAGCAGGGTGAGTCCGGCTGAGCCCACTGTCACATCCTCAAGTGGAGACCCCCAGCCTCTGGGGTTCCTGGAGGCATCTGAGCTGAGGGTGGGCATGGGAGGCAGGAACCGTACTGTGACCACCCACATGGGATGAGCCCTAAGGGAGCCAGAGGGGAGGCTCCTAGGGATGCAGCTGGACCCAGCAGAATGGGCACTGACCTGTGGGTGCTAGACCAGCCCCATCTTGATCTGGTGCGGGGTGGGCTGTGACACTCTCGAGCTGTGGTCACTTTTCTGTTTCTGCGATAATTCACTTAGAATCATGACCATAAAGAATAAAGTCGTGTCCTTTGCTTTGTTTGATTTTACACAGAAGCCACAGCATGTTTGTATGTGATAAAATGGCCCCACAGGGAGGAAAGTCAGTGTTGTGAAATCACAGGGGAGCGAGAGGGTGGTGGGGTGAGAACCCCCTGCACCTCACACTCAGACACCCTCTCCTCCCCACTGCTTGGGTGGGCACGTCAGGGAGTGGCTGGGAGGAGTCAGGTCATCTCCATCCATCTCGGACCCCGCCCCTACGGGTTCCAACCCCCCAGGGTGTGCTCAGCAGTTCCTGGTGAGGTCCTCCTGGACTGATCCACCAAACAGTACCCAGTGTCACTGGAACCACAGTGTGACTCTAGATTGGACACATCCCACATTGGGAGAGCCACATCTGTCCAACACCCTTGCCTCTTGCCTTCAGTGAAGTAACAGCCCAGCTCGTGGCTCCCAGGGAGATGTCAGGCCTGCCCCATC